TGTTTGCTATTCTTAAAGAGTTGAGGTGGAGACCGGATGCGAAATCACTGCTCGTATCGAGCCTTGTAGGATCCGGCATGGGAAAGAGAGGTGGTAGGTTCTTCAAGAGGACATTAGGTGCAGAATTTCACTGCTGAATGCTCTGATGTTCCCCTACTCTAACTTATTTTGTAATATAAATAGTTTCTCTGAGACCAATAAGCAAGTATAAACTAGCTAAGCAAACAAACAGAGGGTCTCCTCATCTAATTTATCTGCATTCTCGAATTCTAATTGTACTTTGTAAAGAGCGGTGAATTTCTATTTTTTTAAGCTTTTCTTTACTTTTACCTTTAATCGTTCTAATTTTATGTTACCCTACAACTAGAGCTGCACAAAAAATTCGAATATCCGATTTTGTGCAAAAAAATATCCGAAACCGGATTGGGAAAAATCGGTTTTTTTAACCGGATCGGATTTTTTTAACCAGTTATTTTAACCGGTTTGGAAAAAAAAATCTAGACCGGTTTTTTTATCAGATAAAAAACCGGTTTTTATCCGGAAAAAAACCAGTCTGGGTTTAAAAAACTAGCCGTTGGGGGGGTTTTGTGATCGTTTTTGACATTTTTTCTTAAAAAATTACTATTTTACCACCCTAAACATGTATAAATAGGTTGGGGATGTATTTGGTTGATTACAACTTTCTCAAATCTTATTACACAACACCTAAACATCTCTCAAATCTTATTTTTGTAATTTTGTTCATCATGAGTAATACGGCTGAATCTTCCGTCGGGGGAAACCTTGAAGTCGTGAGAGTGATCGAGCACACTCGAAACAAAGATATTGGGATCACTACGATTTATGTGAGATGTCAAATGGCTCGAGGAGGACGCGTTGTAAACTTTGTCTAAAGTTGCTTGCACCGGAAGGAAACACAACTTTGAAGAACCATTTAACAAAATCATGCAAAACACTTCGCTCAAGATCGGATCCAAGTCAATCGAATCTTACACCGCAAGGTGGTGTTTTTGTTTAAGACAACGAAAAATTACGAGAAGCGTTTACAAAGTTCGTGATTACAAAAGCATTGCCGTTTGACCACTTTGATGATGATGATTTCACGGCAACAATTCAACAACTAATGCAACCACGCTATACTCAAGTAAGTCGTACTACCCTTAGAAGAGGTGCTATAAAAATGTGGCGTACGGCGAGGGAAAAAATGATTTTAGGATTCCAAAAACACCGTTATGGTGTGTCGCTTACATGTGACTTTTGGAGTTACCCTCATAATACCGAAAATTCTTTTTTAGCCGTTACGACACATTGGTTAGATCAAGATAATTGGCAAATGATGAAAAGAACAATCGCGTTTGAATTATTCGGTGAGCCGCATACCGGTGCTAATTTATTTACACTTTTAAAAAGGGTAATTGTCTTTATAAATTAGAAAATAAATTTTTTTCTATATCCTTTGATAATACATCGAATAATACAAACGCGATTCACAGATTGAAAATATTATTTTCATCATTTTAGACGGTGCGTTTTTTCATATCTGTTGCGTTGCACACATAATTAATTTATCCGTGCAAGCCGGTTTGGATGTTATTGAGTCGATTAGATTAGAATTTAAAACAATGATAAAATCAGTTCTTTGTAACAACAACAAAAGACTAAATGATTATAAACAATTTTGTAAGTCGGTTAATAAAAAAGCTTTCGTCCTAATTTGGATTGTCCAACTCGTTGGAACTCAACTTGGATGATGATGCATATCGCCTTAAGGCAAAGGGAAACATTGCAAACATTTCACGATCGGCTTTTCGAGAGGGGTCATGTCTCAAACATTTATCCGGATTCGTGTTGGGAAACTATAGCCAAAATAACTGATTTGCTTAGGGTTTTTAAAAATGCAACAACTTTTTTATCCGGTGTTTATTACCCTACTAGCCCGTTGGTTCTTAATCAAATATTTTTGTTGGCTACCCGACTAAATGACTTTGAATTTGAAACCGAAGTTTTTCAAGAAATTGACTTTGCAATGAAGGAAAAACTTTTAAAATATTTTAAGGAGATTCCCCCATTTTTACTTGTGTCGCCGCTTTAAACCCAACGTTAAATGTTGGCGGGGTTAAAACACTAATTGAACAAATTGCATTTGCTTTTAATCTAACCGATGATGAACCCAACTTTGTCCAAAACCAAATAAATTATTTTAACAAATGTTTTCGAGACATGTTTGCAATTTATTTAACTAAATACGGATCAAGTAGTGTAATACACGATCAAATGAGAACGAATGCGGAATCATCTAGTAGACGTCCAAGTGACATAAATTTGAATCTTTTAACACCTTGTAAATTCCCAATCCAAACGATCCGTACTACCACCCTAAGTAGCGAGTTGGGAAATTACATGTCATGCGATTTTTTATCAAAAATGACATTTGAAGAGTTTGAAAGTTTGGATATTTTGGCTCGGTGGAAAGAAAAGGAAGCACAATTTCCGATTCTAGCCGCCATGGCCCGTGATTTAATAAACGTCCAAGCTTCTACGGTAGCTTCGGAATCCGCTTTTTCTGTTAGTGGCAGGGTTATATCGCAACGGAGATCAAGACTAAGTCCCGAGTCGGTGGAAATATGCATTTGTTTGAAGGATTATTTGAATGGAACGGCTCGGAAGTAACATATCACCACCATAGAAGATGCAATTGATGCCGATTTGGAAGCAAACTTACACATTAAAGAAGTCGAACTTGGAATACCCCCTCCAAACGAAGAAGGCGAAGATGATGAAGAAGAGATGTCAATGTAGTTTATTTTTAAACTTTATTTCAATTATCGTAAACTTTGTTTCAATTATCGAACTTGGAAGTTTTTAAGTATTTGAATTTATCGAACTTGGAAGTATTTAAGTATTTCAATTATCGTAAACTTTGTTGCAATTGATGACGATGTAATTTTAATAATATTATAATCGGTTTTTTTTCAAGCTGAAACCGGTTACACCGGTTAGGATATCCGGCCCTCCAAACGGTTAGAATCCGAACCGGTTATTTATATACCGATTTTTTGTCTATGAAAAAAAACCGGATCGGATAAAAACCGATCCGGATCGAATTGAAATCCGGCCTATGTGGATGTCTACCTACAACCGATAAAGTAAAAAAACGAATCGAAATGTTTAGATGAATGGCTTATGATAAAAATTATTTACTTCAATAGTAAAAATAATTTAAAAGTATGGCATTCTTAATTATTTTTAATGATGAATTATCTCAGATTAATAAAAAATATACTTCATAAATTAATGTAGGGTGATTTAAACAGGATAAGAGGACTAAAACTAAAATTAAACCTTATTCATCGTAGGGATTAAATGCACCACTAGTACTTATATATTTTGAAGAAATATAATGTTTGTTCAAGGAGAAACAAAACAATAATAATAATAATTGCTACGATAATTTAAATAGGGTTAAATTAAACCAATAATCACAGAGCTTTACTTTCTATTCTATTTCGTTCACTGTACTTTAAATCCGTTCAATTTCCTCACTGAATTTAACACAATTAGCATTTCTAGTCATTCAACCGTTTCTCACTAAATGACGTTATAAATGAGTTGTACATAGATGCTAAACGACGTCGTTTTGATGAAAATTTTGTTTTCCTAAAACGACGTCGTTTTAATGGAGTTAAGTATTTAACGGTAGGAGTGAGAATTTGATCGAGTTGAGTCGAATAAAAAAAATTCGAGCTATTCAAGATGATGAGTAGTATTTTATGACTCGAACTTAAATTTTTTTCGAGTCAAGTATAGTTTAAGAAATTCAAGTCGAGTTATTCGAGTTTCTATACTAATTTTATTATAATTATTTATAGTATTTTGGCAAGTAATTCAATTCTTATACTTTCTCTAACCATGTAAGATATAGATATATATTATATTATTTTCACATTATAATGTTATTTAATATACCAAATGCAACCTAAAATTATGAAATATATTCATAATATGATATTTTAAAGAAAGTATTTTTTTAGGGTAAAATATTGATGAGAGTACAAAGGAGTCAATGAATTGATAAGAATAAAAATTTGCAAACAATTGTAGTCAAAAGATTAAATTGAGTAAAATACAAAGTTAAGGGACTAAATAAAAAAAGAGAATACATTTTTAATAAAAAGCAAGAATTGAAGTTACATAGGTATTCTTTTGTGGTATATGATCATGTGATTCAAATTTTGTAAAAAAAAGAACTTAAAATAAAGGATGAATTGAATGAATAAGGAAATTATGAAAAATTGGGACTTAATTAAAAAATAAAAAATTTGTTATAGAAAAAGAATTGAAAGTACATATGTATTTTACGATGGTTTAGGAGTATGTGGTTTAAATTCGGTAAAGGATGGACTTAAAATGAATGAGGAATTGAAGAAATAATAATCATGGACTAATCGTAAAACTGTCAAAATATTTAATCAAATTTTTGGTTTTAGAGTAACTTGAAATTCCAAAATTTCAACTAGATTCAAAAACCAAATTATTAATTCGAGTTAACTCGAATAAGTTAAAATTAATTTTTTATTTAATTTTTCAAGTCGATTCAAGTCAAGTTTTGCCCACCTTTTTAAGGGCTGATTTAAATTACATTGAGTAAACAAAGTTATTGGTGTAATTTACTCTTTAAATAGAAACATCTGATTTTCGTTAATTAACGAATTTGGACTTTTTGGCAGCTTTGACTTTAAATTAAAAAGGAAAAATAATAAAGAAAAAAAACCAAGTGGCAAAGCGACAAGGAATCAGAGAAGCTGAGTGATGAGATGGCAAAGGTGCGGACGCGCGGAAGATACCCATGAAATAGACAGTAGCAGAATTTTAACGCGAGGGAAAGGCCATTCGAAGCTCTGAAACCTTGAAACCAAGGGGAAAAGAAAAAGAGAAAAAAAATGAGAGAATGTGAGAAGGCGATGAACAACAACAAGGGCAAGGAAATTGCAGTGTGAACAAGAGTTGATATCAATCAAAGCGACGCAGGTGAAGACGAGGACAATATCACGAGATCTACCCCCACCGAAAAATTCAATCCTCGTAACGTTTCTTCCAAATATGACTTCGTTAAGGTTCTTTCTCCCTCTCTTCTCGGGATTCCATTTGAACAAATCGTTTTTTATTTATATCTTCCGATTTTAATATGTTTCTTCATTTCTTGGCGTTGTAGGTGAAGGTCTGGTTGGGTGAAAATGCCGATCATTATTATGATTTATCCAGGTTTCTGCTTAGCAGAATGTTAACGGTCACTAAGGTACCCATTCCATTTTTCGGATTTGTTTTTTATATATAAATTTTTTGTTAGTATATCTTAACTTGAATTGCTTAGTGTTTTCTCTATATTATATATATTTAAAGCTATGTCATTTCTGTCTCAGATTCCGAATCATGTCGCTGTTAAAATCGCTCTTGAGCTCAAGAAGCTGCTTATAGACAACATCCTTTTAGATATGTATGATTCCCTTCTCTTTCTATTTTAGTTTTAGTTTCATGATTTTTATCTAGTATTTTTTTTATTAATGTTCTGTTCATTGAATTTTCCCACAGCTCGCAATCCGATTTAGAGGCTAATCTTTTTAAGGTATTCTTCATAAATTTTGTGAATTTTCCCATCGATGAAAAGTAGAGGGTATTCATACTTTTAGAGATCGAATGTACTTTTGTGGAAGTTTCTAATCAAATTCCGTGTGCAGCTAATACAGTGGCGAGGTTATGGGTTAGCCTATGTAAACCGGTACAAGATGATGACCAAGTTAGTTCATTTGGCTTTTCAAGTTTTCAATATGATGCCAAACATTATCATAAGGCTGACTCTGGAATCATTTTTTTATAAAAATTTTGAACTTATTTATCACATGTTTAGTGTCATCTAACCCTATCCTCATTTAGAAGGTGAGATAATTTTGGTTGCTTGTTCTGTATAACAACAATTTTTCTCCTTTGTGAGTAAATATCTATTTTATTATGCTAGTGTTCATTGGTTTGTAGGTCTAGGTTCAATGTATGTTTTCACCCTAATATAATGATCATAAAGACACAAGAAAATTAAAGGATTGGGCTTCTGAGGCAGGCTGTGGGGTGGGTGTTATCCCTATGACTTACCTTGGATTACCGATTGGTACAACCAAGAATTCTGAACTGATGTGGGAACCAGTGATCCAGAATTTTTCTACCAAATTAGCAGGATGGAAAGCTTCAACACTTTCATTCGCGGGGAGATTGGTGCTAGTGAAGACGGTGTTGTCCTCCTTGTTGATTTTTTTCATGTCCATTTTCAAAATTCCTCCTAAGGTAAATCAGAAGTTGAATTCAATAATGGCTAGATTCCTTTGGGGGGAAGGTCCAGCAAGAAGACAGATTCATTGGGTTAATTGGAATGTGGCGTGTCAACCGTTTGAGGAGGGTGGCTTGGGTGTCTTGGACTTGAGTTTAATCAATCGAGTGATACTTGGGAAATGGGTTTGGAAGTTTGCTAATGAGGACTCACAATGGAAGAAAATGCTATGCAAAAAGCATAATATCAGTAACTTATCCCTTTCAATAAGTACGGCAGTTTCTTCTCAAGATTCATGGATTTGGAGAGGAATTAGAAATAATTATGAGAAAAAGGATGAAATTGGAGACTGCTTGAGGGTTTATTCGAAGATACAAGTGGGGAATGGTAGATCTATTGCATTTTGGAATGATGTTTGGATTAATAACTCAACTCTAAAAAATCAATTTCCTAGGATTTTTGCTCTTTCTATTAATAAATGGGGGAAGTTGTTGATTTCGGTAGCTATGAAAGCAGAGGTTGGGTTTGGAATATCCAATTAAGGAGGAACTTATGTGATTGGGAATTGGATCAGTGGATTTCCCTAATGTCAATGCTTGATAATATTGTTTTGATCGATTCAGTTGATGATTTTTTGGCTTGGTCTGGGAATGGTGATGGTCTGTTCTCGGCTAAGTCATGTAGATTGACACTTAATGGCAGAACTAGGGGGAATTATCACTGGAATAAATGGGTGTGGTCTGGTTTGGTTCCTCCCAGAGTTCAAACTTTTTTATGGTAGTTATCTCACCGTAAAGTGGTTGTTAGAGTGGATCTGAAGAAACAAGGGGTGACCTTGGATAATGTTCTTTGTCTTTTATGTCTTAAAGATGAAGAATCAATTCAACATCTTTTTCTCCTTTGTCCGGTTGCAGGGGAGCTGTGGAATAGATTCCTAAGGTTATGGGATTTAGCTACAGTTCTGCCTAATGATACAAAGTCCCTACTTTGTTCTTGGTCTTATCTTATGGCATCGTCTTCTATTTGGAAGTTTATCTCCGGAGTTGTTTTGTGGTCTATATGGAAGGCTAGGAATTTGTGGTGTTCGAAAACGACAAACTTGACACGGCTTTATTGTTTTTCATTTCGAGATTCAAGCTGGCCAAATGGTTTTTAGCAAAATTCCCTCAGGCTAATATTCAAGTTGATTTATTGGTAGGAGATCCAAGGCTTGCAGACGGTATTGTAATTAATCCTTCTAAGAGGAAGAAGTATCCCTGCTGGTACCCTCCACTAGATTTTTTTAAGTTCAATGTGGATGGGGCGGTAAGGTATGATGGTTTACATGGAGGAATTGGAGGGATTTTGAAAGACTCGAGTGGCTATACTCTTATCTCTTTTTCTACTGCTGTGGGACCAGGTCCTCCTATGTTTGCTGAATTGAAAGCAATTAAAGAGGGAATTGATTTATTTCTATCTTCTCAATGGGCGGCGAAAGGAAGACTTGTGTTAGAAAGCGATTGTTCAACTGCAGTGGAATGGATTTTGAGGTCCTTTTCTGCCCCTACGTTTTTCAGGTCCTTGGTTGGGGACATTGCTGCATTAGTTTCTGCTAAGGGCATTATTGTTAGATGGATCCCTAGGAGCTGCAATTGAGAGGCTGACAAGTTAGCTAAGGAGGGGATAGGTTGAACGATCATAGCCTTATTGATGTTATGTTCTGTTTTATTAGGAGGGTTACAGTGTAATGTGTATCTTATGTAATTCTGGTTTTTAATAAATTGAGGTACTCTTTTCCTCCTTCAGCTAGTTGCCTCTTTTTAAGAGGCAACTACGAGGGAGGTTTTTAACGAGACCTACTATTACTATAAAAAAAAATAAAGACACAAGTAATATTGGAATAGTTTCAATTTTGATTGTGCATGCAACATTTTCATTGATTCATAAGTTGCTACTGACTTGATGTAGGAGGGCAAAACAAAATAAGGAACTTCTGAGTGTCAGCATTTCACTAGTAACTGTTTTTCTTGTTTCTAACTTTCAGATTTCACCATCAGAGAGTTCCTTTGGTTATTCTTGTTTGTGGAACTGCCTGTGTTGGGAAGTCTACAATAGCTACACTACTTGCACAGAGGCTAAACTTGCCAAATGTCTTACAGGTTTAGTATCTGTTTATCTACTGAAAGTATTTAGGTTTTCTTTTATCATGTTTCCTCTCGTTGACTATGTTTTTGTTGCAGACTGATATGGTTTATGAATTGCTACGCACAGCAACCGAGTATGTCTAGAATCTATTTATTTTGCTATAAATCTTTTTTATTCACTGTAGATATTTTCTGATCATATTGAATCACTCATTCGGACTGAAAAAAAAGGGATGGACGACGGTTATCATTAAGTCATGTTTGGCTTCAACCAATAATGGGTTATTCTAGTCATGGCGCATATGCTATCTGTTGGGTTGTTTTATACATGGTAGGTAGTATTCAACTTTGATTCAAAATGGGTCATTGTGGTTTCCAGATTGAGAAGTGTCACCTCAGATATTTATTGGTTACGAGATTTATTTCTCTAATCACTTGATACTCTGGATAAAGGTACAAGAAAGTGCAGTACCTTTCGCTGAATAGCGCCTTAGATTTTAAAATTTGGCTTCAAATAAAAATTTCCCTATCTTCTTTGACTTGCGAGAGATCTGAAGACTATGGTTCTTCATATCTTCTGAATTGTCTTGATTCTCTTTCCCCAAAGTCTTCAGTTTATTTCCTCACATTGTATTTGAAATGGCTTGGAAGATCTCTCTATTTACAGTGCTAGATGATGTGTCATAAGATAATTCTAAAAGAACTTAACCTTGTTAACTTCAAATTAGTTTTGTTTTTTTAGAGATAAAAGATTGTAGCGCATGGTCTTTGAAATTTGATTGGCCAAAGAATGGGTTTGTCTTGAAGTCAGTTTAATTTAATTTAGATATAAATTAGATGGCTCATAGATGAGTTTTGATTGGTTGAATGTTACAGATCGAAACGAGAGAAAATAGAAATTGGGGAAGAAAAGAAGCGACAGGATAGAAGTGAGAAAATGATCCAATATTTTCATAAATCATCACCATTACAGAGTACTTTATTATACTCAACTCCATAACGTTCATAAGGCATAGTAAGTAAACAGTCGAAAACAAGAAAATGAAATGGAATAATAAACCAGGACGTTTCTGCCGGGTAAGGTACTATGTAAAACCATCCAATTCCTTAGCCATCTTTGTCACCGTTCCTCTCAGCAGCACCTAGAGCCTCTGAAATGTTTTCATCTTCCTAGGGCATTTTAGTTGGATTGTATGTTGTTGGGCTTATGCCCAGCATTGGGCTTGTTGAAGCTCTTGGGTTGTTTACGATTTTATCTTGATTTCCAAAGGACTGATAAATCTTCAATTAATTTAATTAGTAACTCATAACAGAATTTACTTGGTCAAAAATAAAATTAAAAGAAAATTTGGAAGAACATGTACCACATTGTATTTGGTTGAAAATGTTCTTCAACACTATGTCTATTAGGAAGCAGATTGTCCCACTTTTAACAGATTGTTTGGTGTTTAATACGCACGGTCAATTTGGAAAATGAGGAATGATATTATTTTTCATAATGAGAAATTAGATTTTGCTTTGCTTTGCTGTCTTTTCTCTCAAGGTACAGAGTGGCAACATGGTTTTCTTCAAAATTTCCAAAATTGTTGGTCTCTTTCGATAGTCTTGTGGGGATCTGACGCTAGCTGATCGTGTTTTGTTCGTTGAAAAGAGGTCTCCAAAGGTAGTTAGTTGGTCTCCACCTCCTACTGGTTTTGTTTAAAGTGAATGTAGATGGTGCTATGGACAGATGTTGGTCGAAGGGCGGCATTGGTGGGCTGATCCGAGATGATAAAGGAGTGCTGATGGGTTCGTTCTCAGAAAGAGTGGGATCCGGTCCTCCAATTATGGCTGAATTGATGGTAATAAGGAGAGGATTGATTCTGTTTCTAGATTCAGGGTTGTCAGTGAATCAAAGGCTTATTTTGGAGTCTGATAGCGCGATGGCAGTGGATTGAATAAAAAATCCAGCTAGCACAACTCCGATGTTTCTATCCATTGTTAAAGATATTGCAGAGATTGTGATTAAAAAAGGGGTTATTGTTCGTCATGTAGCGAGAGTAGCTAACTGTGAAGCGGATAATTTAGCCAAACTTGGGATTGGTTAAATGGTGGGGATTTTAATTCAGTTGTTGTTTTTGTATTTTTGGTTTTAGCAGGCAGCTTTGGGTATGGTATATGTTAGTACCTCGTTGAGTAATCTAGGAGGTCGTTTTTGTGTATGGTATTAACATATGCATGTAGGAAGTGTTGTTTTTGCACAGTGATAAGTGGCTGCCATAGGTTTGATTTTGTTGGTAATGTTCTTACTGTACTTTGTTATTATGCAATAAAATTTCTAAGGCACTCTTTTCTTCCTTCCAATGTCCGTTGAGTCTATGTTGCTCGACGGTTATGAAGCGGGTTTTTAATGAGGCTGCCCTTTTTATAAAAAAATATGTTAATGCGTGCTTCTCTTATTTGTTCCAGTGCACCATTAGCATCTACTCCTGTATGGGCACAGAATTTTAGCTCCCCCGAGTTAATTACTGAATTTTGCCGTGAATGCAGGATAGTTCGCAAAGGTAGTTTCTGAAATTTCCATTTAGTTATTATGATTTCCCCCCTCTATTTATTAGTGTAATAATGGGATATTGCCTAGAGACATATGGCATAAATTTTCCTTCTTTCTAGATTTGTTATTGTATTCTAAAGGTATGTTCATCACTAGCTTGTGTTTGGTTCCTAGGGTTGAATGGAGATCTAAAAAAGGCAATGAAAGATGGAAAGCCAATTATAATCGAGGTATGGTTGACACAAGATTGCTGATTCTTTCTTTTTGTGACATCCTTGTCCCCCCTACACCCTTGAGCTTTCCCTTCTTAGTCTTCTCTCTCTTTTATCTCTATGGTAAATGGTGATACCATTTCGCCCTTATGAGCACAAGAATTAACATGTGATATATGCACGCCTATACGGTGAACGTTTTTTATTGTTTGTGGTTCATATGAATTATTTCTTTCCCTTTATTAATTTATTAAAATACTGTGGTTCTGTGTCAGAAATAAAATCAACAGTTTAAAGTGGTTGTATAACGTTGCTTGGAAATAGATTTTTTGGCGTTGTCTGTTTGTGTAGCATTCGTTAAGAAAGGTGTGGACATGAATTCTGAGTTTGCACATTAAAATAAGCATGGACTCTAGCAGGTTACGGGCTTCTTTTCCATGAATGAATATATTTTACTCGTGAACACATACCGTACTTGTTTCATCTGTTGTATTTTCAGCTATTTTTTGGATCAAATCTGAGCTTCAATCCTAATAGTTCAGTTTACTTTTTATTATTATTGTGGTCCGTGAGTTCATGAATGTAACAATTAAAATAAGATGATCTAGTGATAATGGTTTCTTGTGGAGTAAGGTTGTATGTTTTTGAACGTACATGCATGCATTTATTTCTGTAATGTGCAGAGTGCCTTTATATCTGTTCATTTTTTCACTGCAAAACTTGAAGAAGGTTCTAATCTGCTTTAGTTCATTATATGGCATTTTCCCTCACTGGTCATTGCATGAAATTTGGAAGCATTGGCATGTTCTTCTGCAGTTTGATGTGTCACTTTGAGTTAGTGGGTTCCTTCTTTCTTTTGACCATAACAGGGAATACATTTGGACCCTAGCATTTATTTAATCAATGATGAGCTTAAAACACCTACCTCTGTGAATGGACCACCCCCGCTGTCCATGGCATTATCTGCAGTGCAAATGGAAAATAATTTAACTACTACTTCTCAAAGTAATACAGAAAATGGCCATGACCATCTTGTGCATGTGGCTGAAGACGTATCAGTTGACAAGGTGAACAAAGTCTCAGAATCTTTAAAGTCAATCGCTCTAGCAACTGCTTCTGGTGGTAAAGGTGGATTTCTACTGTAAATTCTTTGTATTTGGTATGTCATCGCATGACATTTTAAGCATATTGTATGTCTGTTTAGAGGCTATGTGAAGGTGCAATATGACTATTTATTAACAGTGGTTGCCTTTGTGCAGGTGAAACTGTTAAGGTACCAGAAGGAAATGGAAATACTGCTAGCAAAGAAAAATCTGGCCCTAAACCAATAGTAATACCGGTAGTACTGAAGATGTCTGAATTTAATCACAAGGTATGGTTACTTCTCATTTTACTTCTTCTATATCCAGCTTTAACTAGAAAAGCACAGAAGCTTATAGATGCGCTTGTGTTAAATTTGTTTTCATAAATAATGTTGCTCAAGTGGCTAAACTGAGAAAATGGAGGATATACCTATTAATATTCACATTCAGCAAAAATCCAATGCCAGTTATGGTTCTGATTCACTTTCTAAATCTTTCTCTTCTGATAGAACCTGTACTACTAGAAACTTTATTTGTACAAAGAGGAAAACACCTTGTTAAGGATTTTGAATTCTCAAGAGTATAGATTGGTTCATTTAGTGAATTGTGGAGATTAATTGGAATATTCCATTTGTTGGATATTGGATAAGCTATTCCAAATGAAAATTTATAAAAGGATGGGTCTGTTTGACTGTTATTCTTAATAGTATGAAGGTGTCATTTGTTAAAAGATTTAATCAGATTCCAGTTATGGTTATTCTCCTGCTTCCTCATATGATCTCTTTTCTCAATCTTGCATGATTTTCTAAATTCAAATCAACATCTATATGCAGACATTACTAGAGGAGAGAATCGCTACTCATACATTATCCAGGTATTAATAACAATTCTTGTTTCTTGTTCCATCACTAACTGCATTGTTTTTTTAAGGTCAAATAATTATTGTCTTGGCAGAAAGATAACCCCATTTGATAAAAAGCTTTTCTGGGCATTGCTTGCTATCATGGAGAATCTTTAATTAGATAGCTAGGTTGATTTGTTGTTTTCTTTCTCAATCTGGAACATTAATAGTCGTTCTCTAACAAAGGGCTAGTCTTAAGTACCGGTTTGTACTTGTACAGCTTGATTCTAGGAATAACCCTTGAATTCCTTTGGTGTGTGGAAAATGGATGTTGGACATTTGGTTGGAAACAATCAAATTCATGTGCTTCCTTCCCTTGAATTGCTGTTAATACTAATAGTTTCATAGTATAATCTTTGTGTAGATTTGTTGGAGCTTTACTTTTTGCTTGCCTATAATAGCGTGACATCTCAAGAACATATATAAGTTGTCTTGGACGGAGTTTTTTTCTCCTTTTATTTCACTCTGAGTGCAATCACTTGAATTTTTATACTTCGTAAACTTGTCCATAATTCTCATAAGCTAGAGAAATGTGATTTAATCTATGTTGTTTCAACTTTTCTTTTTTTTAAGTAAATGTGCTTGAAACCTATGGTCGAAAGATTTTGTGAAGGTGACCCTCCGAAGACATGGAAAACCTTGGAGAATATTTTAATGTCCATTTAGAAAAAATAATTGTATAAAATAGATTTTGAAACCTTTGTCAAGTTGGGACCGTTTAACAAGGCATTCTAAGGGATGGGATGGCACCTTCTAACCATTTTCATGTCTGCAAAACTTTTGCTTCCTTTTTGTGGTCAGAAGTGGGCATGTTGATATCTTGATATCTTGAATTTTCCTTTTGATTACTGTCAATTCCTTTTCTTCTACATTGACGTTTGTCATTGTTTATTTCTTTGATCAACTATTTACTTGACCAAGTTTTTTATTTTAACCTCATTTGTTATTTTTTTTTCTTTTACAGGATACAGAGTCTAATAAATAACTTGAAGACTATCCAAAACTATCTTTGCTCTTTCAAGTTGCAGGTATGCCGTTTCAGGTCTGTTTATTGGTTGTTAATTGTTATAATGAAACATTTGCTCCCATCCTCTTGTTTGTTGATTTTGTTCAATTATTTTTATATCAAAACTTAATACGTAGCAAATCTATTGCAATATAATCATACGGAAGTATCTTAGATTTGATATTGTAAATTGTGAATAAAAAGAAAATAGAGAAAATAATGGCTACTTGAAGGAGGAGGAGAAGAAAATAAAAGGAGAAAAATAGGAGAAACAGGTTGCTCTTAGTTTCAGAAAATAAAGGTCATTTTCGTTTTTATTTTCTTAAAAAATAGAAAACAAACAAGAAAATGCTTTTGTTTGAAATTTTTAACAAAAATCAAGAAAGGAAAGTATCTAAAATTTAGCAAAGGGTGAATAGCCATTTTGGTTTCTAAACTTTGACTTTAATATCTAATTTGATATTTATATTTTATATATTCAACTGTATATTTGAACTTGAATTCAATTACTCAAGTTACTCCAAATCTTTTTCGGTAAAGTATATTCTATTATGTGACATTTTCTGCTGACACATGGCCCAATAAGTTTACATATGTGGAACTTTTTTAAGGTTCATTCTAATATTCTAAAATATTTGGATAACCAATTCATTATAAAATCATTCTAAAACTTTTGCGTGGAGCCAAATCATATATAAAGAAATTTCTAAATGTTAATCTCCCTTTCTCTTATACCACATTTTTTTTCTCTGGTTTGAACCCATATAATTTAATCCGACTTTCATGATTGCCTTGGTCAAAAAATATACTAATTATTGGAATGGACAAAACTTGAGGTAATGTATCCTGACTCAATTTTTTGTCTCGCAAAATGGCAATTGGTCTCTGTGTTTTGTTCTTCCATGAAGCGTTAGATTGGAGACAATATACAATGTTGTTTGATTATCAAATATCAACTTCATTAGACTAATAGTTTCATATATATAATTCCTTAAGCAATTCTCTCAGCCAGATAAGTTCACAAGTAATCGGGCCATAACTCAATATTTTGTTTCTGCACTTGACATTGCTACAGAGTCCTACTTTTTACTCTTCCAATATATTAGATTTCCCCCAAAGATAACATAATATCCAGAAGTAGACTATCTATTTAAGGGATTGCGCTATTAGCATCTGGGCAACCAACAATTTGTTTATCTCCTTTATCTCTGTAAAAGCAGAAAAGGAGAGGATAATGATTCTTGTTTATTTTATTCATCAATCGTATCGGTATATAATCAAGTATAAAGCTCCTATAATAGGTAACGTAATATCCTACATTAATTACAATATTTCATTCCTAAGATTTAGCCTACAAATCTGTAATTACTTCTAAGTTGGAGCATAGATATTAATCGTGTGAACTTGTTAGATAGAAAATAAATCTGGACTCTGTTAAGAATCTTTGTTAAAATATATCCTAGTCCTTCAATTTTCACATAGTCGGTGGTAATCAAATCTTGTTGGATCTTTTCGCAAATGAAATGACAATCAACCTCCAAGTTTTTTGTTTGTTCATGAAAGATTGGATTGGAAGCAATATTGGGTGCAGCTTGATTATCACACTATAGCTTTACAGGTACTGAAACCTTAATTCCTACTTCATTGAAGAGCTTATATACCCATATGATTTCACACACAAACTTGGTCATAACTTTGTATTCAGTTTCTGTACTTGATCATGAGATCACATTTTGATTCTTACTCTTCCATGAAATCAAGTTTCCCCTAATAAAAACATAATATCTTGAATTAGATTTCTCATCTTCCTTGTATCATATCCAATCCAAATCTGAAAAAATTCGATTCTAGTATGACCATGATTGTTAGTTATACATAATTTCGCGTCTAGATTCACTTTCAATTTCAAATAATGTTGAACTCATTCTACTGTTTTCAATGATCAGCAGTTGGTGATGAAAATGTATATTGACTCAGCACACGCACTTGATAAGCAATATCATGACATGTCACAATAAAATAATTCAACTTTCATATGTCGAGACATCAATCAGGATTGCCATTAACTTACTACATGTTCATTTTATGCTTATTCTTCATGTTTCTTGGATTGCCCCATCATTTTAGATATTTTAAATTTTCGGTATGGTATTTAGTATGGAAGAATTGTTAGAGGAAGCAAATCGAAAGAGATTTTCTATTCCCACTTGTTTTAATTTTGGAGGTGTAGTTTGACTCAACTCTCTAAATTTTTACGTTAGAGTTGTTTGAACTTTAACTGTTTAACTTTCTGGATTTTTTTATTTCCTATGTCTTTGTTTTTTGGAACAGGGTTTAACTGTTGTAAATGTATCAGCGACAACATTTTCACAGACATTAGATTGGCTGCACGGATATCTTCTTCAGGTATACTTGTTATCTAACTTATCGTAAAAGCCAGAATTTCCTGTCATCTAGCAGCTCCAGGAAAACATGTATGATTTTCCATGTTGCAGCCAGAGATCATTGGACATTAGTACTTAATTATGTCATTTAGCTCAATATTTAAAAGGACTTTTTTAGTTGGGAACAGTGTTGTCATGGTGTTTGCCTAGGTACTGCACCTTAATGCCGAAGAATAAAAGCACCTCAGACATTTTCGGACGAGGCATATATTTGATCAGGCACAAGCTGGTGCACCTAGGCACACTTTTGGATGAAGCATATTTGTTATCTATCATTTTTTTTCTGAAGGCATGACCCACTAGGATTTCAAGGGGTATCTGCATAGTCATTAAACAGATCAGGCTAGAATGTAGTGTTATTAGCTGACCCTTTTATCAGTGTTTGTGGAGGAAATGTCAAGCCTAAATGATTTGGAATTTCATGCACCGCTTAGATATGAAAGATACATCTTAAAGTGTATCAAGATATAACTATCTTGTTAACCGGAATGTTTTTAATCAAACTCCATTTTGTTTATCAGCTGTAGCTGTACAGCTGAATTTTATGTGTGTGTTTGTGTGCGCGCGCAGCGCATATTATGTCACAGTCTAGGCCCAAGTATGCATGCTTTATTCGGGTGAGCTATTTTATATGATTATAAGCTGCAGCTTCTCTGTTTTTATTTGGTTAATGATCTTTCCAGAGCTGGGATGAAGGAATGAAATATTATGGACGCGATTAAGCAAGCTGCTTAACTTTTTGAGCTCCAATGTCAGAAGTCGTATCAAGGCAACGACTAGTGCAAATGCTTGGGTGGAATCTTGGAAAATGGATCATCCACACAACAAATTCACTGCAGACAAAACCAAAGTCTCAATCTCCTGTTCTGGTAAAGTCTTTAATGTTTTTCTTTTTCTTTATGGATCAACTCAAAACTGAACTAGTCGGCCCAGAAGATTGTCATCCTAATATTTACAGAACAAACGTTTATATATATATATATATATATATAAAGTGTATGTGGTTATAGAAAGTTGTTTAAATTGAAATCAATTTGCACCATGACATTATATATGTTTATAATTAAATTTAAACAAGAATTCAAATAACTTGACTCAAACTTCATAAATTAACTTAAATGATTTTTGTAATCATCATTTTTACCTTGGTCCAGCTGATTCCCTGTTCCAATTAGCACCTGCAGCAGCCCCTCTACCACAACAAATTCCAGCAGCTTCCACCAACAACAGTTGGTCCTCTACAGCAGCCACACATACAAGGAGAAAGGAAAAATCATCTTTGATTCTTCATGTAAATTGGGGTTATAAAAACCCCATAACAAAATGTAAAACACAAAAAAAAAAAATCAAGAGAAATTTGAGGAGAAATCTAGCAAAATACACAAAGAAAGTCAAAAATAAAAAGTTCTACAAAGGTTATTTCTACATTTGATTTTATTTTTTTTCAGCTTATATTCTATTTTTATTTATTTTCGAAAAAAAGTAAGTTAAATAGATAAATAAATAAAACATAAAATAGGATGGTTGGAAGTTTTGGGTGTTATGCGTGTAAAATAAGGAGGAAGAATATGAGTTTTGAGTTTATAAATTTTTTAGGTAAACTATGCTTGAGGTCCATAGGCTTTGGAGTTCATTACTTTATTCACTAAAAATAGAGAAAATCATGAAATAATCCCTCTAATTTATGTGCATATTTACACTTTAGTTCCTAATTTCTCTATTTTTATTATTATTTCGAAATTAGGTGTTATATTTTCATTTTTTATTTTAATCTCTATGTTTTACTTTATTGTATATAATCCCTTAATTATTTTTTTACATGAATATATATATATATATATATATATATAATTCATTATGATATTCTGATTAATTAATTATGGTTAAACCATATTATTAAACCACATTATAATTCATTATAAAATTATATCATGCATCATATTTAGGCATTTGTAAAAAATAGGGATATTTCCATTCATTTTATCCATGTTGAATATTTGAAAGGAATTTCAAGGATTAACAAAGATTCGAATTCATCGCTCGATGGATTAACATTTCAAGGAAGAGTTCATAATGAGAATAACTCAATTGAAGAAGAAGAAGAAATTCATAATGAGAATAACTTATCTGAAGAGGAAGAAGAAGTTCATAATGAGAAGAATTTGTTCAACCTTTCGCTCGACTCTATCACATAAGGAGATGAGAAGAAGTTTTGGATTTCATTACTTTTTATACTAAAAATAGAAAAAATCATGAAATAATCCCTCTAATTTATGTGCATATTTATACTTTAGTTCCTAATTTCTCTATTTTTATTATTATTTCGAAATTAGGTGTTATATTTTCATTTTTTTATTTTAATCTCTATGTTTTACTTTATTATATATAATCCCTTAATTATTTTTTTACATGATATATATATATATATATATATATATATATATAATTCATTATGATATTCCGATTAATTAATTATGGTTAAACCACATTATTAATACTTATATTTTATGATATTTCGAATTATATTATCATATTCTTATTAATATTTAAATATTAAAAAAATGACTGTCTTAAAGCATCTAGAAGTCTTTTTCTGATATTTTTAAATAATTGAATATCCTACTTTTATAAATTATATATATATTAATTATTTTTAGAGAAATGTTTTATTAATATTTATTTATTTTTTTAATATTAAGAAAATGACTGTCTTAAAGCAACTAGAAGTCTTTTTCTGATATTTCTAAATAAATAAATATCTTATCTATAAAAATATACAAAATATATATTTACAAAAACCGGTTACGACAATTTTCAAATAAATTTAAGCTTTAAGATAAAATTTATTAACTTGACTAATTCGATTTTTTATTTGACTCGATCAAATATTCATCTTTAATAGTACATTATTTGAGGTAGGTGCCATTCTGCTCCGGCCTTTATTTCCCAAGACGCGATGAGTTGTTCTTTGTAATGTTGCAAGAATTTGAGCAGTGATCCAAGTGATCGAACCATCATTTTTTTCATCAATTTAATAATAATTAAACAAAAATAAATTCACCCTGTTGAATAACTAAATTATTAAAAATAAATTTATAATGATTAAATAAAATTTAAATGAGATTAAAGTAGAAATATAGGATAAACTATATTGTTGTCAATCAATTATTGGTTAATTTTTCTGTCATTTTGTTATAAAATATTATATATTGATCATTAATATTTTCGAATTTAATTTTTTTTTGTCATTCCGTATAATGACCAGCAAAATGATAATATGACAATTTAAACATTGATTTAATGATAAATATAAGCATCAACTTTTACACATTAACTAATTTGGTAATGATTTTGTTAATCAGTGAAAAGTATTAAGACTAAAAAATATATAATAAAATTAGTTTCATCAGGCAATCGTAAGAAGAGAACGAAATATTTAGAAAATTCTTAAATAAATTTTCATTGATTTTAAGTGAATTTTATGAAAAATTAATTCAAATATTCGATATCAAATTACATGACAATTGGTGGCAAACAAAAAATTAGAAAGGAAACAATTATATTATTACGCTATTAATGATTTAATGATCTATAAAAAAATCAATATAAATAATTTAATGATATAATCGATACAAATACTGAAATTTAATGATTAACGGGTTAGTCCACACTATGATTTATTAATCAATGGATATTTTTTCTATGCATATTATATATAGTCTATTTATTGAAATCAAACACACATGAAAGTAATTTTCAATAAACGATATGAAGCATGTTTAACCCTGTAAAACAATAAATATCATATTATTGTCATCGTTGAACCATGCTTTGATTTGATATTTTGATATATCAAAAATAAATATTTTTAAAGAAGTTTTAAGATTATTTTCGATTAAGTTTTTAAATTTATATTTGATATGATCGTTCGAATATGTAAATTCTTTTTAAGGTCAAAAACTCCATCTTTACTCGTTACTCTTTTTGAAGATTCAAGACAGACTTTTACAAATTTAATTTTAATCAAGTTAAAAATCAAATTTTAACCCTGCAGTACCAATACTACAAGAATAGTATCGATAATGTTTATGTGGTACCGATACTAATGGCCTAAAATTACACAGTAGTATCGATACTCCCTTTATATTTTTGACAATCAACAATTCTAGTAGGCTATTTTGGTACTAATACTGTTTGAGTATCGATACTCTAAGTGGAGTACTGATACTTCCCTCCCACCAACATCTAGAATTTTGTATTTAATGCAAGCGGTGTCGATACTCCAAACTCGAGTACCAGTACTTAAGGCTTTTGGGCAGCATTTATTGAGGGAAATTTCATCCCAACGACTATTAACTTCCACAATAACCCAAACGGCTAGAATTGAATGTATGCGTATAAAAACAAGATTCCAAGTCTTATGTGAAGACAAGAGATCATAGAGAAAGCCAAAGCAATCACATTGAGCCAAAATCAAAGTCAACATTCTTCAATATTCTTTTTGCTTTCATAAAACACTTTTGTACTTATTTGTTTTTATTTCTCAAGCGTTTTTATTTATTCTTGAATTGAGCAAACACATTCCTAATGAGATTTTCTAAGTTTATGATTTGTAATTTTCTCTTTGAGAGTGTTTCAAGAATTTATGGTATAATTCTTAAGGGAGTTGTACGGTTACACCTTGTCCTCAAAGGTTGATACAAATTAGTGAATTTGTGGGAATCCTTATTGTGGATAGCTAAGGTAGTGGATGTAGACTTTGGTTTAGATAGTCGAACCGCTGTAAAATTATTGTGTTCAATTTTTATTTTTCCTTAAGCTTTCACCAAAATTTTTATTTGCCAATTCACCCTCTGTTAGCTATTTCATCCTATTAATTGACACAACAATTGGTATCAAAGCTAATCTTATTGGAAGGCTTAACATCCTCTTGAGAAGATCCTTGGAAGAAGTCAATCAACTCTTCTTCAATGGTCACTCCATCTACTTTCAGAATTTTAGGTGAGTATCAATCAATCTCAAAGCCTCCATATTTTAATGGTGTCAACTATTCTTATTGGAAGAATAGAATGATGTTATTCATTCAAGCCACCGATTATTCAGTGTGAGATGTCATCACCGACGGGTCATTAATTCCTTCCAAGAAGCAAAGAGAGCTAATTGTACCGAAGGTCAAGTCGGAATGGACCGATGAAGACTAAAAACTCGTTCAACTCAATATCAAGGCCATGCATATCATATTTTGTGTATTAGGCACCGATGAGTATAATAGGGTGTCTTTTTGTTCAAATGCAAAAAAGATTTGGGACAAGCTTGAAGTCACAATGAGGGTACAACTCAAGTGAAGAAATCAAATATTGGAATTCTCACACTCAATTATGAGAATTTCAAAATGAATGTTGATAAAGAAATCAAGACCTTGTCGGATCATTTTACCATCATCATTAATGAGTTAAAGGCATTTGGGAAATTCTACACCAATGAAGAAATTGTGAGAAAATTTCTTAATAGTTTTTCAATGACTTGGGAATCCAAGATGACGACTTTTGAGGAAGCTAAAGACTTGGAAGTTTTTACACTTGATGAGCTAATTGGGTCTTTTCTCACCGATGAGATAATACTCAAGAATGAGGAAGAGAAGAAGATAGAGAAGAAGAAAGTAAGGGTTGCTCTCAAGTCCACCAAGGAAGAGAGTGATTCTAGTGAGGAAAAAGATGAAAAAGTGACAATGTTTGCCAAAACATTTAGAAGATTCATGAAGTCCAAAAAAAGATGAAGAAATGAAAATGTTTGCCAAAATATTTAGAAGATTCATAAAATCCAACAAAGAAAGAAGATTTCAAAGAAATGATGGCTTCAAGAATGAATCTAAGGAAAATGACTCTGTCATTTATTATGAGTGCAAGAAACTGAGACATATCAAGTATGAGTATCCCCAATTGAAGAAAAAGGGGTCAACCAAGAAAGCACATGTAGCTACATGAAGCGATGAAGAATACTCCAATGAAGAAGAACAAGAAGCAACCAACTTATGTCTTATGGTCATCAAGGGACAAACTATGGTAACCTCTAATTCATCTACATTAAATGAATATTCCTTGATGAATTGCAAGAGGCTTATGATGAGTTGACCTCAGAATTTGAGATCATGCTTTCAAAACATAAGAAAAATATTTTAAAATTGAAAAGTGAA